CCGGATGCGGGCCGACCGTGCGCATGCGCCGCGGACGTGGCCGCCAGCGGGCCGACCGGAGCCCGCCCGGAGTTGTGTGGGCGGGGCGACGTGCAGAGGGCGGGGCGAGGCGGCGGGGCTCAAACGCACTGCAGACTAGGGCTGTTCCTGTGGGGCAGCCTCGTCTTCCGTCCGCGGAGCTGCTGCGGGGTTCCAAGAGCTGACCTTGCGTTTGGCAGCGCGACGGGAACCCCCCAGAAGAATGTTCACACATGCGAAGCCTGTAAACATTGTCGTGGGACAGTGTGTCTAGAGGTGCTGACAGGCAAACAGGGTGCTGGGTGAGCCCTCACCAGATACACAGAAACACCTTATGAATTAATTACGAGTGAGTAATGAACTCACAGGGCCTCTCGCAGAGTCGCACGCACTGCCCCTCTGGGTTTCCGAGGGCGTCGTGGGAGATTCCCAGGTCTCTTTCGTGGAACCGCTGGGAGGTTGAGACCACGGGCCTTTGGGTTTGCAGCCAAGTGCTTAACCACTGCATCACCAGGGCTCCTGGGAGATTAATTATTCAACAGAGACGAAACCGATGTTGGAAGACAGGAAGTGGCTGGTCCAAGTACTGCTTCCGAAGGCCGTCTACTTAGAAAAGGACCTCGCTTGAATTTTAGGCCCTTGTCTCTGATACAGGAGCCCTGCTGGCAGAGTGGGTACATACTGAGCTGCAATCCGTCTACCTCCATAATCAGTCAGACACGGCGGCAGCTCCACCCTGTCCCATAGGGTTGCTGAGTCAGCATCTACTCGATGGCAGTGAGTTAGTGAGTCTAAGATTCTCCAGACTAGAGGAAAAACGAAGCGCCCGACAGCATTCAGTGTGTGCTACTAAGTTATTTCAGCGAATGAGCATGTTTCTGTTACCGTCATTATTGCTAGTACCGTGTTATAGGGTACAAACTCCAAATGCAGTGCCACAGGGTCCCGCTTGGCTCATCGCGAACATATAGGACAGGGTAGAACGGTCTAAAACGAACTCTTCATGGGAGTAGAAAGTTCCCTCTTTCTCCTGCCGAGTGGCTGATGGTTTTGAACTGCCGATCTTTCAGATTGCAGCCCAATGTGTAACCTCTACACCGCCACGGGTTTTAGGGTACAAAGAGACCCCAACTTTCAAATATAAATTTAGGAAGAACATTTATTAAGTCTTAAACGGGACAGGGGCACGACAGAGACAAAGACATACCATCCAGACGGGAGAAACGATTAGCAGGAGGCCAGACAGTGGACTGATGGCTTAAACCAGACACGAGAGAACAAAGAAACGGTCACGGAGCATGATTGGTGACAGATCAATCAATAGATTACACTTGCAGGGAGGCCTGTAGACATGGGTCTGGGTCTACACTGGGACATACATGTTATGTTGGACCGAAGCCCTGACAAGATTGGTCCAGGGTCCTCCAACCAAGGCATCAGGCCATGATTCATGACTCAGTACCCCATCTCCATCAAGGACACACCCAGACAAGCCTCTGCAGAAGGCTACCCAGCCTCTAGGCTGACAAGTGGTAATCCACTTTCTAATGCCCTCTGCTTTCCGCGTTAAAACCAAACTCGCTGCCATCCAGTGGTTTCTGACTCAAAGGGCCCTTGAGGACGGCAGAGAACTGCCCCTGGAACTGTCTAACGGGCTGACAGACTCATCTTTCTCCCTCGGAGCAGCCAGTGGCTCTGAACTACTGATGCTGTGGTTAGCAGCCCAAGGCATAGCCATTATGCCACCAGGGGGCTTAATCCACGTGGAGAGTCTTCAAATGGATTTGGGGGTTTCACTGTTATCCCTAGCCCTGCGCAAACCCGGAGCTCCGAATTTAAGCTCTAATACACCTGGAATAGGCGCCAACTCAAGGGGACCCCATGTCTTCTCCCCCAAACCTTGTTCACCCACGGCAACCCCTCCCAGGACCCTGAGAACCGTGTTGAGGTTCTGGGGCCAAATGATCGGGAACCCCGTTTCTCTTATGCCTCGCTCACTGTAAGCCAGCGCTGCAAACGCCCTCTGGTACCACACGTGCTTTCTGGCTCCGAGATGTAGTCCCGCCCCTTCGCGCCAGAGGCCCGCCCCTCCACTTCGCCCCGCCCCTTCCTCCGTAGCCTCGCCGGATGCTCGGCAGGTACCACTGAGCGTCTTGTTGGGGGTGGGGTCTGTCTGACGGCGAGTCCCCCCCACCACGTCCCGTTGGAGCTCGTTCCCCCGAGTCTTCGTGCTTCAGGCACACAGAGTGACCATCACAGGAGCTGTAGCGGCCATCACGCTCGCCGTCCGCCCCGGCTCCCCCTTAGGCCCCTCAGGTGGCGCGGTCCGGGGCCGGGGGCGGGGCGCGGAGAGGCGGTGCTGGCGGCGTGGGGGCGGGGCTAGCGGACGGGGACGGAAGTGGAGCTGGTAAGGCGCGCGCGCGGCCGGGGCCTCACGTGCGGGTCGGGGGTCTCAGGTGCGGGTCAGGGGTCGAGTCTCGGACGCGAAGTGGGGTTGCAACGGCCCGGAACAACCGAGAACAGTCGTGGGCCTCGGGCCTGGGGCCTGATTGCCCCCCGGCTACCTCTTCCAGCGCCTTTCGAGCCCCCACCCCCCTCCACACACACGTACCTGGGGACCTCGGACCGAGGATAGTCTGGCCCCGAATTGTAGCGGAGGCTTATTTCCAGGGTCGCAGCCTCCCCGTGGATGCACAGACCAGCTCCCAGCCCAGACAGGTAGAACCCTTGCGCGCGCGCGCGGCTGAAACCACAGGACTGGCATCTCCCCGCCGGCCCGATCCCGGGTGGGACAGACACTTTTTAGCCAACACGGACAGGCCTTGTGCAGCTGGTCCCAGACTGCCAAACGCAGGCCACTGCCGTGGACAGACACTCAGCCACTTACTTCCAACTTGGAGTGGGGACAGGCAGGCATGCTCCCTTCTAGCCACACATTGCTAGTCCCACCCTGCAGAGACACCCCTGACTCTGCCCCTGACACAGGTGGCAGACTCTGGGTTTCCAACTCTCCCACCCTGGGTGCCCACGGTCAGCACCGCCTTCAAGTTGAGGCTGACCATGTGCACCCAGCGTCACAAAGTGGAACATCAGCTTGTCTTGGCTGGAAAGGAGTCCGGGTGGCATCGTGGTTACTCCTTGGGCTGCTAACTGCAAGGTCAGCAGTTCAAAACCACCAGCCGTTCCACGGGAGAAGACGTAAGGAGGTATCATCTGGGAACTACACAGGCGCACTTCTACCCTGTCCTATAGGGGTTGGTGGCAGTTTTTATGTTTTTAACCTTTACGGGAGCAGATTGGCCAAGTCTTCTCTCTGGGGTGCCTTTGAACCACTAGGCTTTTCAGTTAGCAGCCCAAGGGCTCCCTGACCACCTCAGAGGAGAATAAACAAACCCCCTGTTGTCAGGTAGGTTTTGTCTCATAGGGACCAAAGGACAGGATACAACTGCTCCTGTGGGTCTCCAAGGCTGTCCGTCTGTACAGAAGCAGATGGCCTCTTGGTGGGTTTGCCCTGCCGACCTTTCAGTCAGCAGTGGAGAGCTGTCCCCACTTTGCTGCCACGGTCCCGCAGCTCTCTGTCTGACTGAGGGAACACTTCTGAGACCTTTCACCCACTGGGAGAAAGAGGAGGCTTTCTGTTCCCCTATAGGTGTAGCTCTGGAAGCCCACTCTGCCCTACAGGGTCGCTGTGAGTCGAAATGGACTCTGGCTTTTTTGGGGGGGTCACACCTTTGAACTGGGCTCAGGGATGCCCCTTACAGCTTCTCTGCAGGAACCCCAGCCTCATCATGGACCCAGAGTGCTCCCGCCTCCTCCCGGCTCTCTGTGCCGTCCTGGCTGACCCACGGCAGCCGGTGACAGATGACACCTGTGTAGAGAAACTCCTGGACTGGTTTACAACAGTGGCAGAAGAAGGTAAGGGTGGGGGAGCCACAGCCTGTGCTTCTCCAGAGGCACGTGGATCCTCGGGGACAGGGGTGCGTTGCCGCGCCTGCAACCATGGCCTCAGGTGTCTTCCCTTCCTGAAGGTCCTACCTGAGCCCAGTCAGCAGACGCAGGCGTGGGTCGCTCGGGACGCATGAGCATGAAACGTTTCTCAGATTCTGGTGTCCTGCGTTCAGGGTGCGCCTGCTGCCAGTAGCCACAGAGTCAACTCAGAATCATGTGGGCCCCCCCAGGGTGTTCGGGGGCCGGTTCCTCTG